TTTCTATTTTTTTATCTGCACACTTTTTTGATTGTGTGTAAAGACAATATATATAATATTTTATTAATTGCTATAACTCTTTAGTAATGTAGCTTTCTGATGTTTGTCTTTACACACAATCAAAAAAGTGTGCAGATAAAAAAATAGAAAACTAGTCGACAGTTGCGAGGGGCAACAAACCAAACAAATTAAATAAAACTTATGAAAAACAGGACAAAAGAACAAACAGCACCAAAGGCCAAAACGTTGCGTGACTAAATGATGGCTGTGTTGCCGTCAGTCCTCCTCTGATGTGTTTCATATCCTCTCATCCTCAGAAACACATGGACACATCTGTACAGCTTTGTTTTTTAAGTGATGACACAGTCCTCTTTTAGCATGATTAAGTTCGACGTGCAGACCTCCAGCCTGTTACAGACACCTCTAAACCCAGGTCAGCAGTCACAGAACCAGAACAGGTCCCAGACAAACACCTGGATTTGCTTCTGTCTGCAGAACTTTTTGCTTCTTTCTCACAGAACAAACTGTGCATTGATCAGTGTAACGCAGTGGAGGATGGAATGTGACAAAATGAAATAAATAAATACATAATACATAACAATTGAATGTATCATTTAATTATTAAATACATCTTTAAATCATTAAATGTATAATTAAATTATTAAATACACCATTAAATAATGAAATGTACCATTTAAAGTATTTATTTAAAGATTTATTTATTTATTTTATTTTGTCACCTTCCACCCTCCAGTGACACCATAACTGTCAGCCTCACTTGTCAAACTCAGTGGGCGGGACTAACCCTAACCTTGACGCCTGATTGGCTGCTCCTCACAGCAAGAGAAGACAAATCGATCACTTGTTCACTTATTCACCCTTATTCATTTTATTACTCTTAGGAAATGTTAACAGTGTGGAGAGACATTCCTGCTGCTACATTTGATTTTTATTGTTTGAACATGAATAAACGTAAAAAAAGAAACCCGAACTGTCCCCGTTTCTTAATTTCATCTTGATAACATTTAATTGTTTTTGTCTCTGAGCTGGAAATGTCCCCATATTTAACTGCAGAAATCTGGTCACCTTAACATGGAGTGAGCTGCCATGTTTGAACTGACATGAGACCAAAGCAATGGATTTCACATGCTCAGCGTTAGTCCCGCCCACTGAGTTTGATGAGTGAGACTGACAGTTAACATTATTTCATGCTGACACACCAGGGTGGAATGTGACAAAATTAAACAATTGAATAAATCATCCATCCATTATCTTTTACCCGCTTCTTCCATTATGGGTCACACGGGTCGCTGGTGCCCATGTCCGGCAATCACTGTGCGAGCGGTGGGGTACACCCTGGATGGGTTGCAAGTCCATCACAGTGAATAAATCATGAAATAAATAATTTAATTGTGTATTTAATAATTTAATTGTGTATTTAATGGTGTATTGATTGTTTATTTAATTATCCATCCATCCATCCATCCATTTTCTTTACCCGTTTATTCCATTTTGGGTCACGGGGGTCGCTGGTGCCCATGTCCAGCAATCACTGTGCGAGGGGCGGGGTACACCCTGGACGGGTCGCAAGTCCATCACAGGGCCACATAGAGACAAACGAGACAAACAACCATTCACTCTCTCACTCACACCTAGGGACAATTGTAGAGTTATCAATCAGCCTAACATGCATGTTTTTGGTCTGTGGGAGGAAACCGGAGTACCTGGAGAAAACCCACGCATGCACGGAGAGAACATGCAAACTCTACCCAGAAAGGCCCCTGGACCGGGGTTTGAACCAGGGACCTGCTCGCTGAGAGGCAGCAGCTCTACCAGTTGCGCCACCGTGCTGCCCTTTATTTAATTATGTTTTAATAATTAAATGATACATTTCATTATAGTATATTTATTTATTTAATTTTGTCACATTCCATCCTCTATAATAAACACCACTGTCCACAACCAGGAAAAACGAAAAAAACGTGCAGCCAGAAATAAAGGGGGTAGTGAACCAGTGGCAAGGGGAGCAAGGGGTTAGAAATTTGAGCTGTGTGTGTGCATGTGTGTGTGTGAGGATATCTTTTGCAACATAAGGAGGAGGGGTGGAGATAGATGTCTGCTGCTTTAAACAGGAATGTGTTCATTTTAAGGGAGAGGGGGAGGCTCAGGGAGCATTTTTCATCATTTAAAAGCACCAAGGAGAGGGAGTGAGAGAGGTGCAGCGGAGAGAGACAGCCTCTAGAGCTGTGAGGCAGAAGTGATGGATCCAGCCCACAGAAAAGTGACAGTCTTCTCCTAACGGGCCACAGGCAGCCCACCAGCTGGCCCTGGACTCACACACTTTACTGGGAAATTACCTCCAGCATCAAACTAAAAGGTACCACTTGTCTCCTCTCAGGGTTCAAACATTTTAAGAAGATTTTTTTTGTGGAAGAACTTTTCATATTTGCCAGAAAGTTTCAGGGAGGTTTGGCTACTGCTGGACAAACGACAGTCTTTTAGTAACAAACTTTAAAACCCCTACTGCTTCTCCACTGTTGGACTGGACTGAGGGGACAGGAAGTGGACGGACAGAGAGAGAACGGAGAACGCACGGGTGAAATTCACCCACGTGGGATGATTTTCTACCAAGACAACCTTGAGACAACTCTAGGAGGAGGGCAAAACAGCTAAAGGAGCCTCGTCAGCCCAGTGCAGTTATCTTGTAAGCTTTAAATAAACTGTTGTGACATTTTGATTTTATCTTGGTTAATTTGACAGAGAAAGCTCACACCTGCATTATATTGTGCAAAAGGCTAAACTCGCTGCAAAAAATAAACACCAACACTTGTGACCATTACTTTTACATTTAAAATAATGGCATTTGTTAGTGATGATGAGAGTTTGACAATGTGCTAAGTTCCTGACATGATGCACTAGGATGGCCATGATGAAGTCACTCTCTGGCTCTTCTCTCAGAAGCTGCTGAACTCCACACAAGGATTTTGAGTCACCACTTGTCATGCAGCATCTGCAATCTGACTCAACGTTTGGTGCCAGAGGCCTACTTTACTTTACAATGAGTAACCAGACTGAGTTGGATTATTACATTTGGAGTTTAATTTAGCACACATGTTTGAGAGAGATTCAATTTTCAGGATGGAGCATTTTTTTTGTCACTGATTTATTTTAGAAAGTGTATTTCAAAACAAAAATCTGCAAAGGAGCAGAAGAAAAGGCACAGTGGACGTGAACAGGATTTGCAAAACGTCAAATTCAATAGGATTCTTGAATGATGTGCTTCTTTTCATTATCTTAAAAGAGACCATTCTCGTCTAATGAAATTAAAAAAAAAAAATCTTACTGTGGCAAGCAGACAGCAGCTTCAGGATGTTCCCCAGGAAGAAAAGAGGACGGGGGAGCCGGCTGCTGAATCCCCTCTTTGTTTCTGTAGCCAAAGTAGTGTTTGGATAAGGGGGCTTTGAGGTACAATGGTGGTACTTATCGAAACAATCCCACAAGACCCTCTGCCTTCCTATCGTTGATATGAGATACAGAAAAAAGGCATCCAAAAGCAGGAGAGAAATGTTTGACGCCAACAGTTAAAGCGGAGTTAATAAACTAAACGAGTAATCGGGCTTTGGATGTTCTGTTACAGAGATTATGTTTTGGAGCAAAGAATGAAATTACTCTTAAACTTGAGTAATAGCACAGATTAGCCTTGGCTGATTGACTCTGACTCCGATCCAACGCCTTTTGGGTGTCGTGTAGGACAGTGCTCAGCAGAGCTGGCACCCATTGAAATACGCAGCAAAATCTATCCTCTTCTTTTCTGGGTTCTGACAACTGAGGTGCCGTGTAGCTGAGCTGTGGATGCTGATGATGCAGCATTCGCACAGAAAAAACAAGATACCTGTTCGGTCTTGTTTCTAAGTTCACTGGGAATGAATTGGGTCAGATTTGTCTTAGAGATACGGTGGGGTGGTGGTCCTTCGTGCAGAGGGTCTGTCTGCCATAGCCACTGATTCTCCACGTGAGTATGGCAGCTCTCGCTAATGAGGTGACGAAGAATGCGAGGAATGCCATGCTCAGGCTGAAATGAGAGGGACTGGGGGTGAGAGATATGAGCCAGTCTGAGCAAGAGCAGTCTGCCCACCTTCTAATTAATATGTGCTGAGCAGGAGCAAAACGGCTCGAACACACCGAGGAGTCCTATAAACACTGACCTCTCACCTGAGGACAGTTAACCAACACGTGTCGGTGTGAAGCAGACTTGAAGAACTTACCTTTGTGGGCCATCCAATCGCACTGCGACGAGGAGCGATCCACTGAGCGCCATTCAGCTGTCTCTTTGACACTTCAACACCTGCTAATCACTGCAGTCCTGTCAGTGGCAGCTTGCGTGAGCAAACAAATTCTTAAAAAGCCCAACAGGTAAGAAGGAAGTGAAGGTTATTTGTTGTTCCCTAGGGCAGATTCTACATGGGTTAATGACAGGTTGTGTCTGCTGGGGCAGATGGGACTCTCGAGGTCCCTGGGAGACAGAGCCGACACTAGAAAGCAGAAAAAATACAATGCTCACACTTGTAAACACATATTTCATCACAAGCTGCCAACAGTTTCCCCTCAGCTTTGAAGCAGCAAAGCCTCGAGCAGGAGATTCCAGGCTAACAATGTCCAAAATGAGACTTTAGAGCAAAGAAAAAAAAAAGTTTCAAAGAGACGGGATCAGGATCCCAGGGGAGAAACCACAAGAGCCGCAAGCCCAATCCACTCATCAACACATTACTAACAGCAGGCTCAGAACGGCTCTAATTATCTCAGTGTGGGCCCATTTGTACTCTACTATTAGTGATTTATTCAGCAAATCATCTACAATGCTTTTATTTCCATGAAAACGACACTTATAATTGTGGTTGTATAATCTTTGTGTCGTGCATTTGCAGAGGTGACGTCATAGGATGCAAGCTCTGATAAGGCTTATGTCATATACGATGCGTTTGCTAAAGATAGCTTCCTGCTAAATTGGAAACAGATATGTCTTAACCTTAAGTTTTTTTTTTAATTAATTAATTTTTTTAATTAATTTATCCTGGTTAAAACTGTGTAATTATATAAGAAATTTTAAGAAACAATCAGCTCGTGCTACGATAGAGATTTTACAAATGCAGCTCATCCACTTTAGGTTTTCTGCAGTAAGAAAAGGTGTTTATACGGTCAGTGCAGACAGATACAACAAGAAGGCTTGATTGTGCCAAGGGTCATGCTCTTGGAAAGCGCCACATTTCTCCTCTCCAACTTTCTAATCTCATGTGCTGGCTGTGAGCCCAGATCACCAAGACAAACATGGTTCTCTGACTTCTTATCCTTCATTTTATTGTTAAAAATTCTATTCTGTACTGTTTGTCAGAAATACATAAGAACTGAGAATAAAGTGCACTACTGCTGATATCCTTATGCAGTAATTAAAAGCTTTATATGTAATTCTTGATGATTAGACGGGCTCTTTAAGACTCTGGATATGTGTTATACAGAAGCCGCAGCGCTCCAACATGCTGCACCTTTCACGTAATGACCTGCTTCTTCATATTTATGTAGACCAGAACTTATTATACTTCTAATAACACTGCATCTTTAATAACTTTACACAGTTATTATTTTTAATAATAAAAATGTGAATGTTAATACCTAGTTGAGGCCAAACTAAGCTTTCATTTCTCCTGTAATTTCAGAGAAACTTGAGGGTTTTAATAAAAAATAAATTGCAATTACAAAGAAACTGTAACTCCAAAGAGGTGAAATTCTTACATTTTCCACCTTTGAATGAGGCTGTGGACAGGTCTGATGCAACACAATCAGAATCGTCTTGAATGCTATCGTCTGGAAGTGTCTCAGTTTTTCCACATGCTTAACATTCAGGCCTGCAAATAAATAGGAGCGTTTGTGCGTAAAGGGCAGGCCACGGCAGCGGCCCAACGAGCGCCAGAGCCAGGACAGCAAAATAATCTCATCGGTCTCGAGACAACTGATTACAGAGATGAGCACAGTGTTGGACAGAATTAATATTTTTCTTGGCTTTGATAAGCGGCAGGTTACTTTTGATAGTAAGGCTTGGATTTGCACATGCCAAGCTCAAAGTAAAACATAATCAGTGAATCAAACTTTGAAAACTGTGTAGCCGCCGTGAAAATTCATATTTGTATATTTTATATATCACAGCTGAGTTTCATGTACGCTTTGACATGGAAAGTCACAACAGCAACTGTTTTGCTCAGCTGGCCAAGTAGAAATTTTCCTCAGATCTTTGACAGCTGCAACCTGACAAGCTTTGGGTTGTCATGCACGGTGCTTTTTGCTGTTTATTCCAGTTAATAAAAATAAAATAAATGCATACTGACATTTAAACTTCTGCTTTTAATAAAGACATTACTTCAGTCAAAATAAAGGTGCTGCCTTATCCTGAAGATTAAACAGAGAATAAATGTTGCTCATTAGAGTTGTGCACTCAAACTGTACCGGTCAGTAAAGTCTGTTAAACCTCAGCTTTAAAACATGTTTTCAAACCTGTTTAAAAATAAAGTCAACAAACTACAACCAAATTTACGTGTGTGAAGACTACAGTGTCAGTGAGACTTTCAAACTAAAATGTTCACACTTGGAGTTTGTGTTGTGATGACTCTCAGCTACTACCACATCAAATATTACCGGTAGCTCAATATCTGCAACACTGAATGAATCAAAGCCATGTTTGTGTTTGCTATGGATAATTGGCTGTGGCAGCCATATTGAATTGGGTGGACCTAAAAATGTCAGTCAGGTGTACATTTAATGATTACAGTAGTCCCTCGTTTATCGCGGGGGATCCGTACCCTGAAGACCCGCAATAAGTGAAAAACCGCAAAATGGGAATAGTAGTAAGTAGTAGTTTATTTTAGTATTTATATAAACCCTTTCTGCACTAGCAATATTCTAAACAAAGTTTTTAAACACTAAATGCTCCAAAAAGCACAAAATGTCATGATTTCAGCTCCCTGCCTCCTCTGCTCTTTGTCACCTGCAAGCGCTCTTGACCCCGCCCACTTCTCCGCGCTGCACTCTGAACAGCTGATCAGAAGTTTATCCTGGAGCGGTGTGGGCTGCACAAAGCTGCAGGAGGAAGCTTTTTCTTCTACAATGGGCTGCACAAATGTGCAGCAAGTTCTAAACAATTTAAAACAATTTATTTTAAATAAAAATTTCATGCCGATCGTGCGGCTCATCCATCAATCAGCCAGTTGCGTGTCATGTCCAATTTTATTTTGAAAAACTGCAATAGAGTGAATCCGGGATAAACGAGGGGCTACTGTACTTCCTTAAAGTTTATTAAAATCCTCTCACTGGTTCATGAGATACTTTGCTAACTTTGAGAAACAACTACACTCACATACACATTGTTGCTCACCTGTCGGCTGCAGGCAATAATTATGTAGGAAAAGTTTACCAAAACAAAAATTTTGTGTTTATCACCATCCCAACTTTACAAGAGCATCAGCCAGAGTATCTTTCTTCTTCTTTGTCTCAGCTAAAGAGGAGAAGGAGGCTATGCAAGCTCTAGCTACACCACCCCCACCCTAAAAACTAAAACTTGAGACAGTCTCTGAAAATGATTGTATGGGTAACGACAGAACTAACATAAGCAGAGCTAACTGGTTACGAGCCTATGACCCACAAAAATAAACATGATAAAGATCTATCACTGCCTTTGTTTGGTACAACTACACTTGATTCCCCTTTTTTGGTTCAACCCTGATTAGGCAATGATTTTGTGACCTTATTAATTTCCTTTGTTCTTTGTTCTGTGCTGCAAAAGCAATACAATATATATTATTACGTGGTGCATGTTTAATCTAAGACATGAGGGTTAGACAGCTATTAGAAGTATAAAAACATTTAGAATTTCCAGCAATAAGAAAAACTGACAAGCTATTCTGAGCAGAATGTCCAGAGGACCAGATTTAACTTTTTTAGATTTTTCTACCTGATTATTAAGCATGCATCAGGATATTCTGAGCAGACAATAGATCATTAATGGGGTTATCATTTGAAGACAATTTAGAAGTATCAAAAGATGAATAGCATCTCTAATGCTCATAAACGTCTCTGCATAACTTTTGCAAAGATGACCTGTGACTGTTTAAAAATACTATCTAATCATACTGCATTTTATAAAAAATTCTCTTCAGGTTTTGGTGAGTTGGACACAACCTCATGGAGCCCCCTCCAATGGTCCTGCTGGGGGTCCTTCTCGTTTATGGACTAGCCTGTGGTGTCCAGCTGACGCTTGGGAGTCTCTCAGGCAGTAGCCATGGCAAGACCAAAACCCAAGAATTTGGTAGCAGTGAGGATGATCTAGAAGGAGAGTTCCTCTATGCCGGAAGAAGCAAGCGTGCACCAGCGGACCAGCCGCAGGACAAGTGTTCCTATACTTTTATAGTGCCTCAACAAAAAGTTACCGGAGCCATCTGTGTAAACTCCAAGGAGCCCGAGGCAATGCTGGAGAATCGGGTCCACAAGCAAGAGTTAGAGTTGCTGAATGTGGAGCTACAGAAACAAAAGAGGCAGATTGAGACTTTACAGCAATTGGTGGAGGTGGATGGAGGTATTGTCAATGAGGTCAAGCTTCTGAGGAAGGAGAGCCGAAATATGAACTCAAGAGTCACTCAGCTCTACATGCAGCTTCTCCACGAGATTATCAGGAAAAGAGACAATGCCCTAGAGTTAGCACAAATGGAGAACAGGATCCTGAACCAAACCTCTGAGATGCAACAACTCACCAGTCGATACAAAGATCTTGAGCACAAATACCAGCACTTAGCCTCTTTGGCCACAAATCAGTCGGCTCTTATTGTCATGCTGGAGGAGCAGTGCCAGAGTCGACCCCCTCAACGTTATGTTCCCGTCCCCCAGCCACGTCCTCAATCTCCTCCACCACCACCACCACCCATGAACAAGCCTTACCAGCCACCTGTACTTCCACGCAGTAGCAACCCAATCAGCAATGAGATCCAGAGTGATCAAAAGTCTCTTGTTCAACCAATGCCCTCTGGTACACACAGCCCGTCCACAACAGACGAGCCTAAAGGTGAGTTCAAAAGTCCATTTAGAACATTTATTTTTAATGGCATCTGTAAAAAAAACGTCAGTTTCTATCCTAAATAGTCACAAGCAAGTCATTGTCTGAGCAACCACATCAGTATACATAAGACCATCCATTCTTCCATTTAGAGCAATTCAAATATGTTCCACACATTCCAACAGAACAAGAAGTTGTTGTCTCTGGTCTTTTTCAGATGGATATCATCTAATTACCATAATTTAACTCACAAAAAGGCCAAAGAATATTTAGCAGCAAGGTATATATGCGTACTTACTACTTTGCTGGCCCTGTGCCAAATTGTTTTTTGAACACAGATAAGCTGATTTAGAATAAGATGTGAGGATTTTGCAAGGACTATTAACGTTTTCTTTTTGTGAGGAACTATGCATTAGTGGGAAAGAGTGGAGAACAACAATAAAAGAACACACCATTTCCATGATGACGGGGGTGCTTTTTTCCATTGACATTTTGCACTAATGCCTACCATGAGAAAAGCAGCCTTTGAATTGATTGCTTGAAAAAAAAAAGGCAAGTAATTTCCTGTTCATGGCCATAAAATTAACACCCTTAAAAATATTCAAACCCGAAACACAAAGAGCTGCACATGAGCAGGAATGCAGTACAGTATGGAAAAAAGATTAAAGAGGTAGCAAACAGGGGAAAAAAATCAGCAAGAGAAAGAGGAGGGGGGGTAATTACAAACAGAAAAAGATACCCGGAATCAGTGATGTCATCTGTTCCAGTTGCACCAAGCAAGAATCAGTCATATGTTCCAGTGAAGGAGCAGGCTTTATCAGGCAGAACAGAGCAGGCCAGGGCAGGGCAACTCTCTGGCTTGTCTCTGCTAAACAGAGACATTCCTGAGAGTGAATGGATGACTGAGCATTGGCCAAAAAAAGACATCGACCAGAGCAAAATTTATGTAATTAAGACATTCTTTAAAGGCTGTGTAGGTATAATAATGGGTGTTTGATTGAAATTTACATACCTCTTTATTGTTTTATCCCTAGCAAGCCTTTGCTGTACCCCTCTGTCACTAACTCTCCTAATACATTTACCCTTGTTTGCCCTTACTGTATTTAAATACTATGTAATGCATGCCAGTTGGCAAACTATACACGTGTGGACTTTTGAAAATTTTTCAATATCTTTCAAAACAAATTGCTGCCAGAGAGTCGGTTGCCCTTTTGCTTTTTCCAAGTCTGCCATTTTAGTTTAGGATAAAATCTAAATGGCTTAGGAGAGCAGGTTTCAGTGACTTTACCCATTAACCTGATGGCAGTTCTCTACCTTGCACTAAATTTGTAAAACATCTGTAGCAGTAATACAATTGCTGGAAAATATGAAGTATTCAATTTCCCTCATCTTATTGCAATTTTTGAAAAAAAGCTTGGTAGACATTCTGGCAATTTAAAGGAGCATTAAAAGCAGACGTATTCATCTTAATTAGGTTTGTGTCAGTGAATTAATAAAAAAAGCAGATAAAAGGGATACCCAGCAAAAAATTATGTGTTGGTAGAAAACTTAATTGTGGTATATGATGGAAACATGCTGACTAAATTTTATTTCCATATTTCAGTAGTCAGGATTCCCTTTGCCCTCTTGCCAGAGCTTATTTTGGCTGTGTAGCTGAGTGGCCATTTCCCTTGTGGGAAAAGCAGACAGAATCAATTTTAAACTCACAGAGAGCTTGTGCTAAATACTGGAAGTTCTCTATGTTGGAATATAGCATTTGCTTTGTGTCATTATATGTATTTTTTGTGTGTTTTATTTTGTATTTATGAGGTACAGCTGCAGTTAACCAAGTTTTCATGTAATCTGCCTGTTCAGGCCCATTCAGGGATTGTCTGCAGGCTCTGGAAGATGGCCACACTGCAAGTGGCATGTACCTGGTGAAGCCAGAAAATGCCAACCGCCTCATGCAGGTGTGGTGCGACCAGAGACACGATCCAGGTGGCTGGACGGTTATCCAGAGGAGGGTGGACGGATCTGTCAACTTTTTCAGGAACTGGGACACATATAAGGTGCAACAACTTCACACCCAATCAAAGACTTTACAGTTTGAAGAGAAAGTGGTGGCTTGTGTTAGGTGTTCTGACACCAACCAGATGTGAACAACTAATGAATAGATTTTTGTTGGGCTTTTGAAACTATGGTTCTCCTCAGTGGTACCTGCTTCAGTCACAGCTTTGTGACTTAATGGTTCCAGAGAAATTCTCTTGTGAAATGACCTAAGACTAAAATACAAGTATGGGAATACAAATGGGGACTTAAATGTCACATTAACTGAATGTGAACACTCATGATGTGCCAAGGAAATAATCTAATTTTCCTAATACTATATTATAACATATGTGTTAAATGACTGTTTTCTCAGTGTCAACCTAATTTCCATATCTATTAATGCTATGGATTAAAGCTTCCCACAAGCAAAGGGAGTTTATTGTAAAAGAAATGACACTTCATTGCCAACAACTGATCAAAAAAATGGTTTTGTTTGAATAGTAACATACATTTCCAAGACTTTTGCAAAATCCCTAAACTGCACGAAACTTCAATATTACTTTTGTACATTCACCAGAGTAAATGTTTTCATAATTCAGTGCATCACAAACTGGCCCATGGTGCAGGATGAGTAGAGCCCTGAGTGTTGAGTTTCTTGAGGAATGAAGTGCATCCCGCTGTGTTTTCAATAATAAAATAACAGTGGAAACTTGGGTAGATGATGCAAGCTTCCAACTTGACTTGAAAGCTCCATTTATTTTAATGTTCCTTGACAACAACAAAAAAGATAAAAATCAAAACTACCCCCAGCTCATGAGCAATGACCTTGAATCATTCTCCAGGTCATCCAAACTACCTGCTCAATTCTCAGAACAGTCAGAGAGGATTTCCTAATCGTTCTGTTGTTCTTTATTACTGCGCTTCGCAGCAAGGGTTTGGCAACATCGACGGCGAGTACTGGCTTGGTCTGGAAAACATCTACTGGCTGACGAACCAGGGAACGTACAAACTGCTGATCACGCTGGAGGACTGGAGTGGCCGGAAAGTGTTTGCAGAGTATGCCAGCTTCAGACTGGAACCCGAAGCTGATTACTACAGACTAAGAGTGGGGCGCTACCATGGCAACGCTGGAGACTCCCTCACATGGCACAATGGCAAACAGTTCACAACACTGGACCGGGATCGTGATGCATACACAGGTAGCAATCAGCATTTGGCAGACTGAAATTCATATTTTTTATTGTTTATGCCTGACTTTTATTTTCCCCCTCCAATTTATTTAAAGGGAATTGTGCTCACTATCAGAAGGGAGGCTGGTGGTACAACTCGTGTGCCCATTCCAATCTGAATGGAGTTTGGTACAGAGGGGGACACTACCGCAGCCGCTACCAAGATGGAATCTACTGGGCAGAGTTCAGGGGCGGAGCCTATTCACTCAAGAAAATAGTCATGATGATCCGTCCTAACTCTAACACCTTCCACTAATCATCCAAGGAATGTAGATTTTGTAGTCAGAAAGCAAAGAGAAACGTGATCCTCGAAGTGCAATTTTGAAACATCAGGGTGATATTGATCTTCCAAATAATTAAAGTTGTGCATTGTTCAGTTATCTGATTGTTTTTCCATATGAGGCATCTAAAGAATACTTATATCTGAGGAAGTATTTTAAATAAACCTCGTCAAACAGGAAGTTAAGGTATGCTCTGTTTTTCATCTGATGGCGTAAACAGCTCTACTTTAGGAACAGTATCTTTATAGCTGGTCAGAAACAGTTGAGGTTGACACAGGAAATGTATCCAGTGACTAACTTTTAATTTCATGCTAAAAAAACATTTTTTGTGTGTGTTTATTTTTCAGAAACAGTAAAGATAGTTGACTTTCTGGTTCATCATGTCATTTTATCAAAATGCACAAAATGGTGTATTTTTTACACTAAACCAAAAATAAATAGAATAAATCAAATGTTTGAGAATATTGTTACTTTTTGATTTTGAACAAGTTTTTTTAATGGACTGATTGACACATTTTCAGAAGGTACTTTCTATTTTAATAAAAGGTTTTGAAATTTTGAATTGCTTATGCAGGTATATTTCCTACGTTGCTTGTATAAACGAAGCACTGTATTTACTGTATAAATGTATTGGTTTGTTGATGCCAGTAGCTCCAAAACATGTTTGTACAGAAGATATTTGTAAAATAATGATTTAAGAGTTATACCACCATTATGTTGCAATAAAATATGTACAGATTTTGGTTTTATTTACTGTTTCTTTTGATAAAAAATAAATACTTGGAACAGACAAATCAGAAAATGGAAGTATAGAAGAGGAATAACTATTTAGGCGCACTTCACACTGACTAAAGACCAAGTCATATCATAAAAATAACCATGTAGAAAGTGGACGGACTTTGCAGGGTCTTGGCGAAGTCTTTAGGCAAACAAAAATCACAATGTTCTCCATTGGATAGGCTGTGAGGTCCACCAGGGTTCTGAGCATGCACTTAGCTTCTGTACCAAGGTCATGAATGTTTTCTCTTGTGGTGGAGGCATACTGGGGTTGTGATTGGAGCATGGGTGTGTGGTGGCAGCTACCCCATGGCCTGCAGCTTCTGTGCACCGGCACAGATTGCTCATATGGAAATTAAAGAAAGACAAGCGTCAGGTTTAGGCTTCAATCCCATATGAGACTTCAAGGCTGCAGTCTTGAATGTTTTCTGAAAAGCACATTATCTAAGGATAAGAACTTCAAAGTCTAGATCTATTCAGCTTGTACATAATACAGGTATAATAATTTAAATTGTGTATTTTAATGTATATTTTATACAAGTAGCATCCACTTCACAATTCCTGTATGATCAGGATGCATATTTTGTGCACCACTACAGAATACTCACTGTTCTGGCAACTGTAGTAACACGTTTCTTTCCTTAGAGATGTGTACGTGAGGCTGGAGAAGTTCAGAAAGTTTCTCTTGCTGCTGCAGTATTAAAGTGAAGCTGCATCATATATAAGTTGGTGAAGAAGCTGTGCGTATTTATTCAGCCATTTGTTAAAAATGTTTCAGAATGTTTTTTTAACATGCAGATTATGACCAGGTCATGGAAACAACCTAGCCCAGACATGATACCCATGACTGTAGCGTCCTGCTGGCATGGTACAATCTTCTAAAACACAGCTGCGTTATTATGCAATCTGAGAGAGTCGTGCCCGGGATTCGGTACAGTGATGGGTGTACATGGTATTGCAGTCATGGAAATGTGCTATTGACAGACAGATCTTGGTGAGGGTTGTAGAAGTGTCTTAAGGACTCAGAAAATTGCTGGGGAAAAAATTGACAAGTACTAAGAGTGTAGCGGTAATTATGGTTGCCTTCACACTGGGTTTCCAAATTTGCTGAGATCCAGACACTTTCTAACAGGCCGTACAGCTCATGGAGGGCATAGCAGAGTTGAAATTTTGATTGAAGGGACCTTAGGTTCACAAACTGTAGCTCTCCTGGTGCTTCCAAAATACACAGCCTTTGCTAATTTTCATTCCAACACAGAGCCAACCATTTTCCATGAATCTATCCATTCATTTTATTTACATGGTTTTTTTATGTAGGATCACAGGGAACCTGGTGCCAGCAGTCAATGGGAGAGACCTGGACAGATCATTCAACCATCACAGACAGGTCAAATAAAGACAACCAACCAACCATTTATATGGATTAAAGATTGCCACTCATAGTGAAATACGGACTAGATACTTCAAAAGACCTCACTTCAACTCCATTAAAAAAACAAATGTAAAAATACCTGAACAAATGCTGCATGACTTTTACTATCAGTATTGATTTTAGGACAAATTTCATAGCATATTCTGAGCAAAAGATTAAGCAAATATTTGTGCTGTTATTGTTCAGTTTCTGTGCTCATTGAAAGCTGAAACAACTAGTGATGACAAAAATTATTTTAATATCCTTTGAAATACGTTATTTAGTGTTAAACTTCATTGATTTGAACTTAGAATTAAAAATATAAACAATTTTATTATAAAAAGGAAATCTGATGGTTCTTTTCTAAAAAAAATTAAAAAACAGTGGAAACAAAAAATACCTTACCTCAAAAAAAAAAAAAAACTGCTCCAAAGTCTGTAAATGCTTCAACAGCATAAAGAGTTAGTGTGGCTGATGAAATGTGGCAGGCGAGTAAAACTAATGCATCTAACAGTTGCCTCCACCGACAGCAGAAACAGCTTTACATCCCAATCTGTCAATGTGACTTACAAAAACAGGAAAATGACTTTACACTGCTGTAAACTAAACTCTATTAATATCATATTCTGACACCAAACTGAACTTTAAGAGGTTTTGACTGTTTTACGAGCATTTTTAATCAAAGTAGCACCACTTATCGGCAGGAGAAAGCAGGCTTTATGATTTCAGTTCTGTTGCATATTTTACCCTGTACATC